CTATAGGGCCCCTATAGGTCCCCTGCGCGCCCCACCTTGGCCACGGGGACGTTGTCCTGCCCCGGCTTGAACTGGGCCCTGTTGCAGAGGGTGACCACGCGGCTCAGCATGGTCCACGTCTCCGACGATTGGTCGAAGCTCTGCCCTGGTGGGCGGGGCCGTCGGGCGGAGTCAGCCAGGGGATTGGTCGGGAGGGGGGAGGGGAGGGGCTTAGAGGCAAAGCGTCTCACCCGATTGGTCCTCGGTGGTGTCGGCGGCGTGGATCTGGTTGTCGAACCAGAGGTGGGCGACCGTCATGCGGTTCTGGGTGAGGGTCCCGGTTTTGTCGGAGCAGATGACCGAGGTGGAGCCCAAGGTCTCCACCGCCTCCAGGTTCTTCACCACGCAGTTCTTGCGCGCCAACCGCTTGGCCGTCAGCGAGAGGCACACCTGCGGACGGAGAAGGTCCTCAGGAGGTGGATCCCGTAGGATCCTCGAGGAGATCCCGGAGAGCCGGTGGTGGTTTTGGAGTCACGGGGATCTCCAGGGAAGAGGGTGGTGGGTAGGGAGTCGTAAGGACCATCGGAAGCCTTGGGGGTTGTGGTGGGCGCATGGGGACCTCCTGGGTTCCTGGTGGCACCCAAGGTTCCATAAAGACCTTCAAGTCCCTCATAGCACCCACGGTTTGGGATGGACCCATGGAGACCTCTTGGGTCCCAGGTGAGCTCCAAAGTCTCCTGAAGACCCTCAAGTCCCTCATAGCACCTACGGTTTGGGATGGACCCATGGGGACCTCCTGGGTTCCTGGTGACACCAAGGTCCCATAAAGACCTTCAAGTCCCTCATAGCACCTATGGTTTGGGATGGACCCACGGGGACCTCCTGGGTTCCAGGTGACACCCAAGGTCCCCTGAAGACCCTGAAGTCCCTCATAGCACCAACAGTTTGAGATGGACCCACGGGGACCTCCTGGGTCCCAGGTGAGCTCCAAAGTCTCCTGAAGACCCTCAAGTCCCTCATAGCACCTACAGTTTGGGATGGACCCACGGGGACCTCCTGCGTCCCTGATGACACCCAAGGTCTCCTGAAGACCTTCAAGTCCCTCATAGTACCAACAGTTTGGGATGGACCCATGGGGATCTCCTGGGTCCCAGGTGACCCCCATGGTCCCAAGAAGACCTTCAAGTCACCCATAGCACCCATGCTTTGTGATGGAACCCACAGTCCTAGAGCTCCAACCCCCCTGACCCCCCCCAAGCCATACCGTGACAGTGGCCAACAGCCCCTCAGGGACATAGGCCACCACGATGGCCATGAAGAAGACCATGGCCCGGAGGAAAGTGTAACCGATGACCATGGCCACCACGAAGAAGGTGGCGCCGAAGAAGATGGCCAGGCCGGCGATGATGTCGACGAAGTGCTCGATCTCGATGGCGATGGGCGTCTTCTCGTTCTCCACCCCCGAGGCCAAGCTGGCGATGCGGCCGATGATGGTCCGGTCACCCGTGTTGATCACCAGACCCATGGCCGTCCCTGTGGGGCCCAAATATCTGGGTGGGTTGGAGGTCCCAGGTGTCGTGGTGGGACCCAGGTGTCGTGGTGGGACCCAGGTGTCGTGGTGGGACCTCGGTGTCGTGGTGGGACCCGGGTGTTGTGGTGGGACCCAGGTGCCCTGGTGGGACCCAAATGTCCTGGTGGAACCTCGGTGTCGTGGTGGGACCCACGTGTCGTGGTGGGACCCAAAGGTCCGGTCACCCGTGTTGATCACCAGACCCATGGCCGTCCCTGTGGGGCCCAAATATCTGGGTGGGTTGGAGGTCCCAGGTGTCGTGGTGGGACCCAGGTGTCGTGGTGGGACCCAGGTGTTGTGGTGGGACCCAAATGTCCTGGTGGGACCCAGGTGTCCTGGTGGGACCCAAATGTCATGGTTGCACCCATGTGTCGTGGTGAGACCCAGGTATCCTGGTGGGACCCAAATATCGTGGTGGGACGCAGGTGTTGTGGTGGGACCCAGGCGTCCTGGTGGACCCCAGATGTCCATGAAGGGAACTCAGATGTCCCGGTGGGACCTACCTTCTAGGCACATGGTGGAGAAGAAGGCGATGTTGCGCGTCTCCAAGGGGGAGTCATGGGTGCACTCGGGTGACCGCGTCTGGGGCTCCGACTCCCCCGTCAACGACGAGTTGTCCACCTGGAGACGATGGTGATGGTGAGAAGACGACGTCTCAACCCCAGAGAGTCCACGAACGCCCCACCCAAAGGACCCAGTTGACCAGGGGGTGTCCACCTTGCAACCCTGAGCCGAGATGATGCGGATGTCTGCGGGAACTCGATCTCCTCCTTTGATCTCCACCAGGTCACCCACCACCAACTCGTTGGCGTATTTTTTTTAGCTTGTCCCCTTCCCGGATCACCGTGGCTTGCTGGAGGGTGACAAGAGAACCCAGATGACGTCCAGGTGAGGCCCCAGATGACGTCCAGGTGGGACCCCAGATGATGTCCAGGTGGGACCCCAGATGACGTCCAGGTGGGGCCCCAGATGATGTCCAGGTAGGGAAGGGACCATCCCCGTGGTCTCACCTGAGGGACGAGGTTCTTGAAGCTGGCGATGATGTTGGTGCTCTTGAACTCCGGGTAGTAGCCGAAGCACCCGGTGACGACGACGACGGCGATGAGGGCGATGGCGAGGTAGAGCTGGTGGGAGGAGACAGGATCAGGCCCCCACCCCAGGAGGGTGAGGACCCAGGTGGCCAGGTAGCCCCATCCAAGGAGATCCAGGTGTCCTGCTCCCGAAGGTCCTGCCCCACCAAGTTCCCCCCCTTCTTGAGGGTCTCTAGCTTCCAGGTGCCCCTCAAGATGGACCTAGATGTTCTCCAGATGGACCCAGATTTCACCCCCCCCCAAGATGGACCCAGACGTTCTCCAGATGGACCCAGATTTCCCTCCCCAAGATGGACCCAGATCTTCTCCAGATGGATCTAGATGTTCCCCCTCAACATGGATCCAG